CATGGACAACTTGATATCAACAATAAATTAATTAAAAAAAAAAGTAAACACTAAAATCGTTATTATTTAAAAATTTTTGATAAAATTTGGTATTGGCCCGTTTTGGGGGGTTCTGAATCCAGTGTTGGGGTAAAAAAGATCACATTTTCAACTAATCTACGCCTTATTCACCCGTCCAACAATTTTTCTTGCAGGTATGAAGCCATGACCAACATTTCCCTGTCGAACTCCACGCAGACGTCTGCCGGACTGGACGACGAAGCCGCCGACAACACCGTCACCTTCGTCATAGGCTTCGGCGTGCTGTTGCTGTTCCTGATGATGGGCGTCGCGGCGGGCGCTTTCCTCTGCGTCACCGTCAAGAAGGATCCCTACCTGGGACCCGCCGAAACCGACAAGTGCGGGCGGGAGGAGCAGCAGTGCGGCCCCTCGGGGAAGCTGAAATGTGAGGAGACCGTGGGACTGGAATGCACACAAATCTAGTAATAAACGAGGGTTTGTCGGCCGGTAACGTTTGTTTAATTAAATTCCTTCCTACTTCCTTTGGTCCGGAACTGTCGCGAAGGGTGTATTTTGGTGTTGTCGCTTCGTATTAGGCCTGGGAGAGTCTCAGTGTGACATGGGCGTCGTTAACACGGAATTGAATGGGGTCGGAACAAATTTAAATTATCAGAGTACGTAACCTCTTGATAGGTGTAAGATCCGTGAGTAAATCGTACATGGCCAGGGACTGATTCAGGACACCGTGCTGATATTACACAGAAATAAATGATAAACGATATATAAGGTGTCCCAGTATTCAGCGTTCGTTCGGAGATACCATAGTTTCCTGCGATCAAAATAGCAGATTTAAATTTAAAATTAACAAAAAAAATGTTTTTTTTTTAATGAAACGCCTTGGTACACCAATACTTACCTTATAGGTGTCACTTTATGACATTGTAAACGAAGTGATTGGATTGACAAAGCTATGAAATAATCTGCTTATAATTTTGTCGCGGATCATGCCATAGCTTCTATTTTTTTTGTTTTAAAGAAGAAGGTTTGTTAAAATGTTTTCCTTGTAAAAGTTTTGTACTTTTCCATGTTTAAATTCATATTAGTATTTATCTTTGTTTAATGTGATTTATATTTAATTGTTCTTAGGCTTCATTAGAAACTCACATTTTATAAAAAAAACTGACATTTGTTTTAGTTTCTATGGTTTATAAATGGTGACCACAAATGAAACGTCGTATTCTTTGGTGAATTTTAAGGGGTCTTTCGTATAAAGCTTTTATCTAGGACGCTTCGTTTAAAAGATACAGGGTGTTAAACTTCAAAACATATTATTAATTTTTTTTAATAATTTAAAAATTAGTAAGTGAAATAATTTGAAATTGGGCACATGTATTTATGTAAACATTGACCAAAATCTGAGGGCATTTCCTAAAATATACATATTTTTCTAAATAAAATAGTACGCCACTGCTTTATGGTAACAATTATATATTTTCGGATTCGTCTTTCAATTTTCTACAAATTACTGCTCTCTTATGTTTTTCGAAAAAAGACTGATTTTTGAGTAAAATTCAAAAAACGAACTGAGAACACACTTCGATATTCGAATATAATGCTTTTTAAAATTACATAGAGGGCTGCCATAGCAACTTTGACATTCTGAGAAGTTAGAAGAAAGAATAAATAATGCTTTTCATCAGATTCAAGCAACAATAAATTTCGAATAAATTACATTTTCGTTGCTAAAAGGATGTCGGGCCTGTGTTCGTGGAAATGGAGGTATTTTTGAGCATTTACTCGAATAAAATCATTAAAATGATGACTAATGTTATTAATTTCTTTATATGAATAAATAACCCAATGATTAGTGCTTGTCATGTGATTTAAGTAAAAGTGTTTTCAGTTCGTTTTTTAAGTTTTACTCGAAAATCAGGCCTTTTTCGAAAGACATAAAAGAGTAGTAATTTATAGAAAATTGAAAGAAGAATCCGAAAATGTCATGGTTGTTACCGTAAAACAGTGGCGTACTATTTTATTTAGAAAAATATGGCACCGATACCCTGTATCTCCGCCACTGGAGGATGCAAATTTTAGGAAAAGCCCTCAGATTTTCAACAATGTATACATAAATACATGTGCCCAATTTCAAATTATTTCACTTACTAGTTTCTAAATTATTTAAAGAAATTAAAAATATTTTTTGAAGTTTAACATCCTGTATCTATTTAACGAAACGTCCTAGATAAAAACTTTATAGGTAAGACTCTTCTTAAAATCCACCAAAGAATACGATGTTTCATTTTTAGTCACCATTTGAGAATCATCCTGTTTATTCTATGCCTACATATATCTCTTCTTCTTCTATTACGTTAATAAACTGCTTCTGAAATTTATTACAACAATGTAGGTCTTAATCAACAATTTGCAATGATAATTATTATGGGTTCTAACATTAAAACGTTGGAAATCTACGTTATTTAAGCCCAAGGTCGCTAAAGAAGTAGGCTGCCTACAAATGACCTTGAGCTATTCAATAGCTAAAGAAGTAGGTTGACTACAAATTTTGAGCTTGAACTGTCCAATAGCATTGCAACATTGCTGAGGCGGGAATATGTCATCGGTATTATAATTTGATTTCCATCATTTAACTTAATATTAGTTATTTGAATTATTAAGTTTATTTAAAAATTAAATAAAAATATGATAACAAAAAAGTTAACTTAATTTTTTTATATTATATTAGAATATAAATATTCCACAATAAGTCTTGAAAATTTCATTAATATATCTCTAATGGTTTTTACACAATTAACATTTTAATTTAGTCCCGAAAATGTTTATTGCAAAAAATTTTTGTTAAAATGAGAAACGGTTTCACTTGACATGAATTCTCACCTGCCATTGTTATAATTGTTTAGACTAAGAGGCAACTAGATATTTTGAAATATTATGTACATAAGGCATGTTATGAAAACGTGCTAAACGGGGTCTTCGTGGCTTAGGGCGTTGTGCGTCGTCTTACTAATATAGAGGTTCAATTTTCGATTCCCGATATAGTCCTTTTCAGATAATATGTATTTCAAACGCAATTTTTCATCGTCTACCAATCAAAACATTTATCCACACCAGTTGCTGGTCGTGACATGTATCATTTCCTCACAGTGTTGTCAAATATGTGTTGATTAGGGGCTAGAAAGTAGAATTAAAAATGATCATCTTCTAAGTTTTTTTTGTTTTCTTTGTATTCTTGAGAAATGATAATAAAGTTTTGTAAATGTTTTATAGGTTGTTTTTTTTTTCAGAAGTTGATGAAACTATTATCAATAAAGTTTATTTAATTTTATTTTTGCCGTCATCGTTTACTAATAAAAGCAATAATTGTTTATATATTTGTTATAAATAAGCTGAAAATCTTTACTGTAGGGCCATCCGCTGAGAAGATCTAGCCAATTTTCGAGAGCGCCTTTTTTCAAAAAATCGATAGGTATATCTCGAAAAATAATTAAAATTTTTTAATTTTTGAAAAATATACTTTTTTTGGCTTGTTGTGGGCTATACTAACAGTAAATAACAAGTATGGGAATGCAAACGAATTACAGAAGAAGAGAAAAGAGAAGATTTTTAACGTTTTTTTCGATATATCTCGAAAAGAACAAAGCAATCGGTACTTAAATAAAAAGTCAGTCGATAGATCTTTTTAAAACCTACAACTTTCGCATTTCTTTTTGATAGCAGCTATATTTTTTTTTAGATATTTAAGAAAAACCGTGTTTTACAATTTTTACTACTTTTTTTACCATGTTCGCCATTTTGGATGGAGTTTAAAAAAGAAGAAACTAAAATTCAATTCAAAATTCAGGACATAGAATTTAGTGGTGTTATTTTTGAGATCAAAATGAGACTTTTTCCTATAAATGGGTCCACAAATGGTTAGTTTGCGATATACAGGGTGTTAAAGTTTTTTATTTTTTTCGATTTTTTAGGTATAATTTCCAAATAGATTTGAATTTTGGCATAAAACTTGGTGTACGGGGGTTTTTGGATGCTGAATTTAAATATGTATTCCATTTGATGCTGCTTGTAGAGGGCGCCACCTATAAGAGTACATACGCTTGAATTAAATTGGCCCTAACTTTTTTGCTACCCTGTCCAAGGACGTTTCGTATTAGCGCGTCTATTCCCCTATTGATTTTAAGCAAAAAAGGTATACTTGGTCGAAATCTCTCAGACCAACCATATCCGAGATATTGGCCGTAGCTATTTACGGTGAAAAATTATAAAATTTATTTTGGACTCACGTTCATAGGGAAAAAGACTTATTTTGACATCAGAAATACACCATTAAATTCTTTGTACTGAATTTTGAATCAGCCTGTATATTAAACGTCTATTCTTGCGTTATCTGAAACGAGTAGAACTGCGACATTTTAAAGTTGATTCTAATGCAGTGGCGGCTCGTGATATTGAGAATATGTGAAGCATATTCATCGATTGAGCAAAAAGAAACAATTTTCAAAATTTCAAGGTCAAACGACTTTAAATGAATCTGGAAATTTTTAGTTGCAATTGCAATATTACCCAAAAACTGACGTTGTATATCCACGGGAGTTCGTGACATCGACCAACTGCGACATCGTATTGCGAGCGAATTGAATACATCGCGCTGATGCTTGTATGCAAGCAAATGGTGGATACATCCGAATGTATTATGTGTTTTCTGTTAAAAAAAATAGTCTCGGTACTGGTTCTGATGCGAAAATATTTATTAACAACAATACAAGTTCGAAATATTTGGATACAACAAATTTTTAATTCTTAAATTAATCGACACCGTTTTCGTCCGACACGACGACGGTGTTGGGCTGCGACGAGCAACCGTAACAGTTACAAAATTTTCGCCTTACCACCATGCAATACGATAATTTCAACGAAAAACTTTACGCGCTAACATTCTACCAGAGTTGATTTTTTTTCCTCTTAACACCTTAAAAGCCAACTGGTCACAAGAACTGGTCCCCGTCGCCGCTGAACTTGGCCAGCTTCGCCTTGAGGGGCCCCGCGGCCTGGTGCAGGTCCCCCTTCACGTCGCCGAAGTCGTACCCGGGGAAGCTCTCCTGCAGGAAGTCGCGCAGCTTCAGGGAGAACATCTCCGTGATGAAAACCACCAGCTCCATCTTCTTGTTGTCCACGTTGTTGAAGTGCTAGGGAAAATATGAGACTAGAATCGATTTTAAAAATATGGCAAAATTGTTGCTATAAATTTTGGTGAATAATACGCGGCCGAATATACAGAATGTAACTTTAAGAGGGAGTCAGTTTTTTAAGGGTGCTTTCCTAAACACGAATCTAAAATTCTTTTTTTTTTTGATAAATTTTGACATATCTACAAGATCATCGAATCCAATTTTTGAAGGATTACAGAGCCCTTAGGAATTGCCTTAGGAAGAAATTGTTACTCTTATTTTTTTTTCAGTTATTTTGACATGAACCCTGAACCTTTGTCGCGTGTGGCTGTCACACCCTGTACGTCAATTAAAACTTACCTGTGCGAAAACCGTGTAATAGTTGATGAGGTACTTGAGGTCCCTCACAACTTCGTTAATGTAGATATACTCTTCGTTCTTCACCTTTTCTATGATCGTGTCTATGTCGATGATGGGCGAGTAGTAATTCTGCAAAATCAAAACACAGCTCGTGTCAAAATGAGCAACTTTTATTAACCAACTGCTTTTGTTTTCGAGAAAATTAATTAAGAAAATTAACCATAAATGTAAACCGACCCTGTGCATCTTGTGCACGTGCGGTGTGGTTGGAGTATTATTTAGCTGACGTATTTAACAGTACCGTGCAGTATGTACTACGGGAACAATTATTACATTCTTATCAATTACAAAAGGTTCAGGCATTAAATAACAAAGATTTTCAACCCCCTGTGGAATTTTGAGAGTGGTTTCGACATCCAATAGCACAAGATCCGGATTTTACAAGCAAGGTGCTTTTTACGGATGAATGTTGTTTTACTAGAGACGGCATACTGAATTTTCGCAACAGTCACTACACTGCGGCGCGCGGCAGCTTTGATATCAAAGATACAGCTGGCTGCCTCACCAGGGGCGTCTTTAAATTTGTTTAAACCTTCATTTTTTTTTCAATTTAAAACACCTTGTGTAATACATTTAAACAGACAATTGAAGTTAATACCAATACGTAAAGACGTACAAATATGCAATTTCCACATTTACATAAGGTATGAATTGTGTTTAAAGTCAATTTAAGTGTGTACAGTCTATATGTGATTGTAACTTTTAATAATCTGTTTGAATAAATGCTACCTGTTTTGCAGTACAAAAATTCGACCAATGTTTAAACAAGCGCCACAGCTCTCCTAATTGACGGATTCGAATTGTTCAAAAAGCGTTTGAAAGCTTGAGAGCCCTTCTATATGTGATTACATTTTCAAATATCTAAGGGTCTTGGTTTTTGCTGTGCAAAATTTTGAAATTTTGCAATTTTTTTTTTCAAAATCTGGATTACAAAATTGTTAAGCAAAATCTATCAAACTGATTTTGATGAAGTTTGGTGTGATGATTCTACATAACATGAAGTTTTCTTGAGCCAAGTATCCTATACCCAACTTAAAGACCCCGAAAAAAATCCATAAAATGTAATGTTTTTTAACCCCATTTTTGGCAAATTTTTCGATTTGTACAATAATAATCATGAATCATTCGATTGTAACTAGTCATATTTTATAAAATTTAATTACAAACATTTTTTTCCTCTTCCATTTTCGCCTAAAATCAACTCTTGAAAAGAGACATAATTAAATAGGAAGAAAAATATGACATTTTTCGAATTTTTTTAACATATTGTGCTGCCGAAAGTTAAGCCCACGTTTTTTTTATGCTCATAGAAAAATTTTCATTTTTAGTGATATTTTAAAGCCAAAAAGCCAACAATCTCCGTGGATATACGATTCACCCAAATATGGACTCTTTGAAACAGATACCGTCTGGACTAGAAGTGGATATGGCGGAAATAAGATAAATAATAAATATAACGAGCGTTCAAATAAAAACGTGGTCGAAGTTGGCTCTGACACATTGGACGTAGTGAGTAGCTTATAGCGACCAACTTAACCTCGTTTCTCAACGAGCTGTATAGCAGCTGTCAGTTTCAATAACGTTAATGACTATATAACTTTATTTTAAAGAATAATCGTGATAACAATAACAAACAATTAAAGGAGCTGCGGAAAGTGTCCCCCTCCTTGTTATAACAATAAATTAAAGCAGCTGCTGAAAGTGTCCCCCTCCTTGTTCCAAGCACTTTTCACACCTGTTCCTCAAAGAATTAAAGACATTTTCTAAGATGCTCGGGGTATTGTTAATTTCACGAATCTTGTCTATAAGTCGAGCCTGCAGATGGTTTAAATCAGGAATAGGCAGTTCAAAAATAGTGTTTTTAAGGTAAGGCCACAAAAAGAAATCACACGGCGTAATATCACATGACCTCGGTGGAAATTCATGTTCAGCATTGAGACTTATTAGTCGATTTTGGAAAACTTCCCTCAACATATTCATCGTCTCGCCTGCCGTATGTGCCCTTGCGCCATCTTGTTGAAAGTAAAAGTTTGTAATTTCGTTTTCTTCCAGCTGGTTAACAAAAGGAGCGATAATTTCTTCTCTATACCTTTGCGCAGTAAGAGTACCATTAAAAAAAATAGGTCCATAAATCCTCCTTCGATTGAGAGCACACCAAACTCCAATTTTTTGAGCGTGTAGAGGGCCCTCGACAAAAAAGTTATCTGGTTTTTCAGAAGACCACATTCTCATATTCTGTGAGTTTACGTAACCACTTAAATGAAACCAGGCTTCATCAGAAAAAAAGGTGATATTATGAAGTTCACCGTAGTTGTTTAAAAACCATTCACAAAATACAGCCCGTCGCGGAAAATCAACTTCATGAAGTTCTTGCTGACAAGTTAAACGATAGGAGAACAAACGCAAATCTTTTTTTAACACTGTGTGGCAGGTACCGACTGATACTCCCACCATTTGTGATAAAACACGTACAGAAGTTCTTGGCGCATTTTCCATTATTTGTTGGACATTTTCTTTTAATTCTTCAGTCCGCTTTTTAGGTCGGCCGCTTCCTTCTTTTCTTGTTACACTGCCCGTTTCACGAAAAACATTAACACAACGCTGAACTGCACTTTGAAAAATTTTGTACTCAACAACGCCGGGAAATTGATTTTGAAATTCTATGAAACATTCCTCAATAGAATACTTCCATATTCCATCAATCTTGCGTCCATTTCTAAAGTAGGACTCTATGATAAACACTTTTTGTTCTTGAGAAAACACCATTTTAAACGCTTTTTAAAACGAAAATATTCAAATTGATAGCGGCGATATAGCGCTTTGACAGATGACGTTTAAGTTCATTTGCTATACGCTGCTCCCTACGTCCAAATTTTCAGAACCAACTTGACCACGTTTTTATTTGAACGCTCGTTATTAAATAAGTACATTTTCCCTTTAAAAATATTTTTTTCATTGATTTACGTGATACATTGATATATGATCGTATAGGTTGTAAATAGTGATAACTGGAAAGTTTTTTTTTTTTTAGAATACTAAGTAATAAGTTCATATACAGGCTGTTACAAATTCGCTTCTCACTACAGGGATCTCGGAAACGGTAAGAGCTACAAAGTAGCTTAAATGGGGGCAAAGTTGCGTAATCAGGGGACCGGCATTATGCCTCTAAGAAATCAAGGCTAACATGATTAGTTTTCGAAATATGTATTTGAAAAAAAAATGAAATTTTGGAAATCCGCTTTTGTTTTTTTCAGCCTTGTTTGAAATGATATTGAAAAAAGAAGAACACTTTCCCATGGCAACTTTTTGCCCTTTATCGAATGGCATAATCAGTTTCTATATGTAACGTTTCGTCTCTCCAGGACCATCATCAACTTCATTTTTTTAAATACGACCCTGGAAATTTTATTACATTTTTTATGATCCTCAATACTGTACTGCCTCAGCCCGAACCAAATTCAGACGTTTTGTCTCGAAAAATTCATCTTCAGTGTATTCGTTCCAAATTTATCTAAATTTTTTATTTAGATTTCTGCTTAGTGAATTATCGTACACTCAAAATGACCCTGTGAAATCCACCTAGTTACTTAAACTTGCCTTGATTTTTAGAGGCATAATGTTGGTCCCCTGATTACGCAACTTTGCCCCCATTTAAGCTACCTCGTATCTCTTACCATTTCCGAGATCCCTGCAGTGAGAAGCGAATTTGTAACAGCCCGTATATCATCAGTTAAACCGCACAATTACCTTGTCCGCGGCGTCGAGCCCCTCCAGGACGTCGTAATTCTTCAGGTCCATCAGCAGCTTCTCCAGGATCACCGTCCCCGCGCTGGTGATCCCGTCCTCGGGGCTCTCGTACATCCCCGCGCCCTTCCTCGAGCCCTTCCTGTACGTCCTCGAGGCGATCTCTGTAAAAGGGTCACTGTCACCGGCGCACCCGCCAAAGCCCGACTCCTCACCTTGCACCCGTCCGTTCACGGCGCCCCCCTTGTCGCCGCCCCTCCCTCCGGCCTTGCCGCGCTGCAGCACCGTGATGGAGGAGGGGGCCGACGGCTTCTGGGGGTCCGAGTCCAGCTGGGGCAGGGCGTCGTACATGGCGGCGGGGTCGACGAAGAACTGCCGCAGGTCCTGGGCGGCGGGCGCCGACATCGGCGACGGCTCCCCGAAGTCGGAGAAGTCGCTGCTCAGCAGCCACTCGTGCACGTTGAGGTGGCTGGAGAGGTTCAGCTTCGGGAATGGGAAAAAAAATTAAATTGAATTCTATGTTTTGGTATGTAGATTGCGCCTCCTAGCTACGAACTTGAAAACTATTTCCAGCGATTTCCCTCAGTCGATTTATTAATCAAAAGTATTTTCCCGAAGCTCTAGGCCCTATACTTTCTCTAATATCGTACCTTGCCGACCTTAGTGGGACACCCTGTATAGCTAACGTAGCTAGAACAGCGCATAAATCCCTACTTTCAATCAACGGTGTATAAAAAATTACTTATTTCCTCGCTTACCTCCAGATCCGACTCGGAGCGTTCCTGACCGATTTTGGTCTCGCTCGGCTTCTTGCAGCCGCTCCCCACGTTCACGTTGGCCCAGTAGCGGTCGTTGGCCGTCTGGGCCTTGTTGATGTTCTGGGCCGTCTCCAGGAACTCGATTGCCCTGGGACTGCCGTTGGCGCCGGCCTCGTTGCCTTCCTTCTTGGGCACGCTGTAACTACCAGGCTTCATGTAGACCCGACGCTCTTCCTCGGAGTCGTAGCCTTCCTCCTTGGAGGTGCAGAAGTCGCCCGAGTAGGTCTGGTTCGCCTGGTCCACGGTCTCCGTGATGGGGGCCGAGGGTAGGTGGATGATCCCCCTGACATTCTTCGAGGGGGTCGGCACAGATAAGTTGGTCAGCGTCGCGGCGTTGATGCTCTCGCTGGGGGACATTTTCTTGGAGGTATTCTCGACTGTAGGGGTCTTCAATATATTCACCTGTAAACCGCTGATGAAGCACAGGGATTGTAACTTCTTGAAACGGATCTTACCTGCGGGGAAACCAGGTTGGTGTCCAGATTGTAGAACACCCTGGTCAGCTGAGCGGCCAGATCTATGGTCTCCTTCTCCCACCGGACGTAGCAAGCCCTGAACTCCGGTGTCAGTTCCTTCTCGATTTTGCCCAAGCTGGAACCGTCCCTGTTCTCCCAGTAACCCTTGAGGATGTGCCAGCAGTTGGTGAGGCGGACGAAGGCGTATATGAAATCTTTGGTGGCCCAGGGGATGCCCTGCGAGTGTATGTTGGAGACGGTGGTGCAGGGTTTCAGGATCTCGGACCTGGTGCGGATGCAGAGGTTCTGGATGTTGCGGAAGCAGGGCCGGTTGCGGTTGCGGTAGGCGATCTGTTCAGCTGTTAAGCAGCTGCGTTCCAGGAACTTCACGAAGTTCTCTGGAGAAGCGTTCTCAGCGTTATCCTGGAAAATTAATGGTTAAATCATTTTCGGTTGGATGTCATGTTGTCTGGTAAGACTCTTAAATGTTTCAAGAGACATTGTTCCCTTCTTGGTCACTAAGTAGTTATAGATAGTTATATTTGATGTGTGTACTCTTCCACTTCCTTCTGGTGCATGATTTGAAGTCATCGGCCTGACACATTTCGATCTTTGATTTGTACGCATGAATCGTTGTCATTATCTTCCTGAGGTTTTTCCTCTTTACAAGAATAACTAGAAGTAGAACTACACTATGAAGATGATGTTTGAATGTATTCCATATGTGATCTAGAAAATCCTCCTTTGTTTTTATATCTATGAGATTAGATGAGAAATGAATCACAACCAACATTAGTTTTTGAGTTGTATACTCCAAGACTTTCTTCATAGCTTCTATATAGATATTTGCCAAAGCCGACAAAAGGATGAACCCATTTTTGCCCCTTCAGCAACTGGAGAAGAAGGATCTGATATACATTTTCTCCAGGTTTATTTAAGACATCGACGGATGTAATTGGATTTCTTTGATCGTGTTGACAAATTCTCCAGTATTTTTGACAGTCTGTCTTCCCTCTAGATCTTTATTTATATGTGACACGTACAGAAAGAGTTGGCTGATGCAATTACACTCACTATTGGTTGGAGAGGTTTGTGAACGCAAAAATGTTGGAGCATTCTTGAGTCACATGAGGTTTCTGTGTGCTTCCAAAGTTCTAGTAAGACATACAATAGTTTGGACATGATCAAAGAGAAGCTTTAGCATTAGGGTATGTCTCTTGAAAAGTCAAGAAGTCTGAACCAAAGACATGACGACAAATTTGACCATACACCTCTATGGATATAAAGGGACTCACCGTCAGCAAAAGCTCGCTGGCAGGGGGCGTGATTTGGCCATAATCGTAAACGGAAGAATCGTTATTCCTCTCCACGTCACTGTTTCCCTCCTGGGACTCCCCCTTGTCCCTCCTTTCCCTTGGCGGTGCCCCAAACACCACGTCCGAGCTAGGGGACGATGTAGTGCCGTACACTGGGCCAGCGGCTGCCACGTGGGTGATTGGCATGGAGTACTGGCTGCCCATATTGAACTGGGTGTACTGGTAGTGCTGGAGGTACGGTCTAGCCACGGGCGGCGGGGGGTACGACACTAGGGGAGGCACGGGGCTTCGGTAACCAACTGCGGGATAATATGTGGGATAAACACTACCTTGACAGTTGCACACGTGGTGCATGTGCAGGTGGACGTTTTGCTGCTGGTTGGTGCCGCTGTCGGACCGGTTTTGGTCCATTAGATTTAAAGTTGGTACTACTTTAAAATCAGGTTCTGAAAAACACACATTTTTGTAACCGTTTTCGAATAACAGTGGAGTCTGACGGACTTATTTTTTTAATCCTTTAACACCTACAACTGGACTTTTTGGCAATATCAAAAATAAAAACTATGGAGGTAAATTTTATTGCTAATTTATTATCTTTTTATCTCTTATCTCAATTAACATTGCGTTAATTATCTTAAAATCATTAACTAAAATTATTTGACAAAAAAAAATTGTTTTAATTTTGTTGTGTTGCTATGATATTCTTTGCGGGCAGAAAAATCGTTAATATTTTGCATACGAAACCTTTAAGGTCCTTAAATCGTAAATGCGATATAGGGGTTAGTATATTTTCAGAATTAATTTCAATCTAAGGCCAATATTACCAGTAAAAAACACAAATTACGATCTTACGCAATAGGAATAACATAACTTACCTCTTATTACTTAAGGGCTAGTACAAAAAACTCACTTGAAACATAAAATCTTTAAAATTAGGAACGAAAACATTAATAAATTTATGGTTTGAATACAGGATTACAACATCTGTCAAAATATTATTTTAGGCGACTTGATATTCCAAAATCATTTGAAAACCTTAGAGCATTTACTAACAGAATTTTACTCGAATTAATCTTGTTTTTAGACAGTGATCAACACCAGACAATTTTGTTTTGGGGAACATGGATTCTACTTGAATAATATTTTATATAGGACATTCAAATTAATACGAAAAGCTGAAACACGAAATAAAAAGTCATAACAACCAAATTCTACTATTTATTTAAATTTACCGTTTAATTTAACAATATTAAAACAACTTTAACATTACTCATTAACAATAACTACCTAAAAAAACGAATTACTATCATTAGTTTTGTTCTTAGAGCAGTTAGTAATAAATTTCAACCCGTATGAGCTTGAATTATCTTAGATTTTGAAACCTTGAATAAATGAAATTACTCTAACAACAAAACAGTACTTTTTTACTATATTTTTGGGCCTTATAGCTACTTAGCGACGAAACAAATGGTAGAAATATATATTACTCTAAAGGAGACCTCACACGTTAATAGTTCTGTTGGCATTTTGAACTATTAAACCCGTGAGGGCAAATACTGACGGATTGTCAATATATGATAGTTTTGCCTCAGTGTAGAGGGTATTGTTGATTTATAAGTGGATTGTAACTAGTTTTAGTTTCAATTTGGGAATATCTACATAGAAAGTAAAAGATTAATTAATTTAAAAATGACTTCTCGCTAATTTTTACATATTCATGATATTCACTAATATAGTGATGTTTTTGATACGTTTCTATTAATTATTCGATAATCCTTGAAGTGACTAATATAAATTTTACAATTAGAAGAATATTTTAGGTTGAAAAAAAGTATTTAGATGTTTTCATGGAATGTAAACAAATAAATGCTTAAAAAATCAATTTTAAGATAGAAAGAGTATTTTTTAAAAAAGTCCTTACTGCAACATTGAAATTTTTAATTTTTTGTTTGTTTGTGTTCAATTGTCATGTACCTAGAACTTCATTAAATTTAGGCCAATGGTTTACACTAGAAGTATAATTGTTATGATGTCAATCGGAACCTGTAAATCTCAAAGCACAGGACCGTATGCACTTATTCTGAAATTTCTTCTTATGCTTTGACCATGATGTGTTTCGTAATTTATACTCGAATAGCAATTCGGCGAGTCCGGTATTGGTAAACTAGTACGCCTGACGTAGAATTGACGGCGGCGCGCTGGTCATCAAAGCAAAACTGTATTGGTCCACTAGGTCGTAAATAATTTTGTATGGTACACGGGTTCACTTAGCTTTGCCGCTTTACCAGTGCCGTGCAGAGCATTGCTTGGCGGGGTATGTTGTTGGTATAATACGTATTACTATTTATTAGTTGATATTATTATTTGTTCATATCGTTCCAATTGAGATCGTAACATATAACTATAAAAATAAAGACTTTTCTAATATCTACTTATCAGATTTTTTCCTATATTTGTTTCACTGATGTTGGTCAAGTAGGAGTTTCGATTTTTTTAAAATTGTCAAAATGTTTTCTGTATAAGTAAAAATGATATGTGAAAGATATTTTTTTATACATTCCCAGTCCCTGTGTGCCGAATTCGAAAGACTTAAGGCAGCTTCACAAAGCTATAACAAAAACCAGTAACTTTTCACGTACCTATCCAGTAATTGTACCTTTCATTGATCTATCGATCCTAAAACCTACCCCTACTTTACAGAACCTAGTAAGTTCCTTCCATTTTAAATATTGGGGAAATTTGCAAAAGATATCTAAAGAATTCGTCTACAAACGTCAAAAAGGGAGTTTTAAGTAACGAAATTACGTGATGGAGAAATAAATAAGAAAACCGAATGGCCCCTTTGCCCGAATGTGATCGCGTTGGTTTCCGAGGAGTTTCTGAAGGAACTAAAGTCCGTTACGGAGCGACAAAATATCCCTTAGAAGTTAATATTGAGCAGGAACAGTAACCCCAGGACTAGAGAAATGGAGGCGATGGTGGTGGATGTGGCGTTACAGCCGTCTTCTTGACAAGCGCAAACCTCTTGCCTACCCCCGAAGCCGGACCGCTGGTAGCAGCGGTTGGCGTACTGCTTGTCTTCGTATCCGCAGGCCCTTATCACCCTGCTGTCCGGCTGAACTGGAAAAGCAACAAAATAACTTGAGAAAAAACAGAAACTATATCTTGGTGTCAACTTACGCCCGTTGACTTCAAAATCGATGACCTGCTTGATCTTCCTGCAGAGGGTGAATTCTTTGCCGTCTTGCCTCTTCGGACAGGGTTTCTTCAAGTCTTCCGTCAAGATGTTGTTTTGGTCGCCCAGGCATCGTCTGTCGATCACGCTGTTACAGTCGTAGCATGAAATCGCATAACCTAAAAAAAAGGCAGGTATACAGAGTGTTAATTATAAGTTTTGCCAAACTTTAATGGGGCATTCTACCGATGAAAATAATCAAGTTTTGCCCTATAAAAATTGTTGATAGGACGCTTCCCTTCGGAGATACAGGGTGTTAAAAGTTTCAAATATTTTCATTATTTTTGCTGTAAATATCGGCATAAAAGATTGAGTGATAAAATTTGGTGAACGGAATTTTTTTAGTAGGGACTATTTTTTCATGGATAAGTTATTCCAAAATACACTCCAGTGACGTAGTTATTGGGAGAGTAGAGGAGCTTTATTGAAAATAATCGTACGCCAGTGGGTTTTTAAATAATTTTAAATGTTTTTAAAATGTACAATCAATTTGTGGCAATAAAGTATTCGTAAAATTTACTGGTCTTTAGATAATTGGGAAACCAAAGAAGATGGGTACTTAAGTACCTACGTTGCTATTTATAATTTTCTATCGATTGCTAAATGTGCAACAATAAATTCAATACCTAATATTTTTGAGAGATTTCAAAACACTATACAACGCCACTGTTTTGTGTGTTGCAAAAAGTTTGTTATTTTTCATACAACTAAAAACATATTTTAATAAAAAAAAATATGGTACTCAATTCATTTCAACTGTAAAATACCAGTACCGTAGGTGGCAAGTTGTTGCTAGGAAACAGTCATATTGAAACTGTGACACATTTTTGTCGCGTTTCTCTGCTAGTTTATGGTCCGTTATACAAATATTGAATTAGCACATATATATTTTGCATACGGTAAAGCGAATAGCAATGCTAGACAAGCAGAACGACTTTATAGACAGAATTTTCCAAATCGACGTTGTCCAACAAGGAATACTTTTTCAAGCGTTCACGTCGAGCTCGTGAAATTGCATATTTGTCGCTACCAAACCGTCGAGCAAGAGAAAGACCTGTTCGTACAGTTTATTTGGAAGACAGAATTTTGGAATCATGGATATCAACATATTTGGGTGTATCACATATAACAATCTGGAACGTAGTTATACTCCGACACCGTCTTTCAGTGCGCGCCAGTAACCATGACCACCGTTGTAAACTAAATTTTAGCAGCGCCCCAAAGTCCCCCACTCCAGCAGCCACTGCTTACAGTACTGAATTATTAGAGAATTAAGTAGGTATAGGTCATTAGCAACACTGCCTTCTTCTAACTTGCTCATAGGATGGAAATGTACAACAGAAAAAATATATTTCGTCATATCTACAATATTATGACAACACTAAAATTAATCGTAATTTATTGATATAAATAGAACAAACGTACAAACAAGCAACATTAATAATATAATGCTCGAGTATTATCAGATTTATCAGTTTTCGATTCATACATGTCTTTAATAGTTTTTGCATTCAATTTTCTATGAACAGGTGTACGAGAATATGAATGTTTTGAATATTTTTACGTATACAGTATATTCCACGCTTGTGTTTCGAAGAGGAGAAACTTTTTAATTTGTGCAGTTATGACATTATTTTTAAAAAATTGGTTTGTCCTCAAATTATTAAAAAAGTCACTATTTTTATGATTTTATATACAGTGTTAAAATTTTAAGAAAAACTTTAAAGTAGGTATACACTTTTACTGCATTTTCTGTTCCGTTTTTGAGTTGCATCCGTTGAATTAAGTTAGCTCTTGATCAAGGTTATTTGAAGGTCGATTCTTGTTTTTTAATGGTAATACAACTTCCTTCTCCGGATTCAAGGTTATTTGAAAATCAACTCTTCTTTTTTGGTGGTAATACAATTTCTGACCCAGCATTTTGAAAGAGCGAGAAATGTTACGTCCGAATATGTGGTTGACTTATTTTTTAAGGTCACCTTCAAGGTTATTCGAATGTCAACTCATTTTTTTGATGGTAATACAACGTGGTTGAGTTATTTTTTCATTTTCAAGGTCATGTTGAAGGTCAACTCCTCCTCTCGAACTTCTCAGGTTGGCATCTCGTCAGGATATCGGAAAAATGACATTTACAAGAGTTGTTTGGTCATTGAGGACCACCACTTGGTGACCTTCAAGTTGACCTATGAATATGACTGTATAAATGTGAACTATTTTTTTATCTAACCGATATTTGCCTTTTTTTTTCTATAATTAAAATAAAAATCACATTAATATAGTCATAGTCAACGCCTTTGATAGTGTTATTTCACAATGTTAATTTTTTAAAAGTTTAACAATATATGCTATGTATTTTTGTATTAATTGTATGATTTTTAATTTTTATTTTGAATAATTTAGCAGTTTTGTCTGTGCATACCTAGATTTCTGGTATCGAAAAACGTTGTTTGACATAAGATTTCAAAAAAAAATGTATGAATTTGTTTGATAATAGCCTAACATCTTTACAATAGAGTTAAAATATATACACTACAATGAGTGCCAATGGAAATTTAGCATAATAAGCCTAATCAAGAAGTTGCCTCACTTCCGTAGGCTTGGCTAGATTGCACCTACGCAAAAAATGTACTTAGGATGAGATTAATCCAGTTTTATTCAGTTGCAAACTTGCCACATTAATGAAGAAGCTTCTCATTTTTTGTTTTATTAAATATAGCAGTGGATTTTAAGTTCTGGAAACTTCTGTGGTAAAAATAACTTTTCCAGTGAAAAGCAATCTTGTTAAGTCATGTATAAAAAAACATTTCCAGCGAAGTCTAATTTGTCAGTTATGTATAAAGGGTGTTATTTAAGTACGTGGGCAAACTTCAAAAGTGATCTTTGGATGATTCTAAGATGAAAAGTTTATATAAATATAGGTCATTTTCAAGATACAGGCTGTCAAAATTTTTTTCAACAATTTTTCGTAAAAATCTTAGTCACCACTTGAAGTTTGACCACGTACTTAAATAACACCCTTATAGAAAAGTCACATCTCTTGTAAGAAATAAGAAAAAAAACAATTTAATTATCGATTCATCTTTTGCAAATAAATATATTCTTTATGACTAAAGCGTGTAATAGGTTGAAATCATTTATGATGAATTGAAAATTGTCAATCCCTAAAAACCACCCATACGACAGTAATCATCAAAAAATAATGTTGAAAAATATTATTCAGCAACTTGGAATAATTTATTCATATAGTGATATTAAATTAAGATTTCTTTGCTGTTTTAATTTTTTATTATTTATTTATAAGTTTCACCCTTTATAAAAACCACCCCTTGCAAACAAAAATTGATCAATTATAGTTAAAATTTTTTCTTTGTTCAAAATATAATACAATATTTTCATTATTTAAAATGTAATGTATTTATTTTATCTAACCTTAAAAAACCCTACTGATTAAGATTTGCAATCAAAAATAGGGAAAATAAGAATTTTATTTTTATAACAAAAGTTTTTTTTATTGCAAATAACATACAAATAATCAAAAATGTAAATACGTATGTGCCTAAATTATAGCTATAATGTGTATTCTTCAATGCTTTAATATAAGTGTTCTGATCTGATCTGCAAAAATACGTTATTGGTTTTTTACCCATAACTCGCTTAGTTTTTATGCTATTAAGCCGTATCATTAAGCGTATCATTAATAGTTTTTGAGTTAGTTTAAAGAAAAGACAATTTTTTCCAAAAATACAAAAATACTCTTTTCACTTCAAGGTCAACTTTTTTCAAAACTAAGCACTTTAAACCGGCCAAACTTCTAGACTAGAGCATATTACAAGTACATAAATAAAGTAAATTGTAAAGTGATAACGACTATTTTCAATTGGGGTGGTAATTAGGGGGTGATTTTCACGTTTTTTGTCGCCGAAAACAATACGGACCAACTTTATTTTCGTCATAACTCACTTAGGTTTGATGCTAGGGACTTTTATAAAAATTAAAGGTTTTTTCAATCACTTTAAAAAAGATTCTATGAGTATTCCCTGAAAAATGCATTGGTTTTTGGTTATTTCAAGTTCAAACTTTCTATTTTGGCGTTTCACGAATAAGAACCAACCTTTAAGAAGCTATTACTCCGCTTGTATTAGGTCTACAGAGATCACAAATACACGATTATTTTTGTTTTTTTTATAAGCTACATTTTTTATAAGATTTTTTTTTTTGATAAAATACTTACTTTTTGAGTTATTTGTGAAAAACCGTCTGAAAAGGTGTTTTTTTTTGGTTAAAAATTTACACTTTCACTCGCGAATAAGTCGAAAAGTATTGACTTTCAGAAAAAACTTTATAGAGCAAAAGTTGCTTAGAATTAGTCAATATACTGTTATTTTCAATGATCCACCCCCAGGATAAAAGCAACCCCCGGTACAAGGTCAACTTTGAAGTAGAGGGTAAATAGTACTTAAATCCAAATTTTTATGAAAATCGGTGTTGTTTAGCATCCGATTCTCCTTAAGAATGGGCAAATGCGTCGATTTTAAGACTTTAAAAAAATGAAGGTACCTACAAGCGCCTAGCATCAGGAGGTACAACATATTGATTAGCAAAACACTGCGCAAGCGCAATTTAAAATTTTCGAATAAGCATTTACAAGAAAAAGCACCTAAGAGAATTTTAAATACGTCTCAAATTCAAGTAAATTCCGCAGTTCTACTGCCAGCTGACTCCAGTCGCTAATTAATTATTAACACTTGCTTAAAAATAAAACAAAATCTCGAATCTGTTACGGAGCGTTATAGATAAATCTATATAATCAATTTACGGACCGATTGTTTATGCATCACAAGCTAAAATTAGGAGCGGCAGTTCGCCTGGGCTTGATTCAAATTCGAATTTTCCGTGCGCCTGAGGGTTCTGGAAAAACTTACTGTCTTTGATCCATAGCGTCGCCAGCAGGAGCAATCCGAAAGAGTGCTGCCAGGAAATCATGGCTGTTTGCGCGTCGGGGGCACTTGAAAACAAGAAATTCGGTCACTGATGCTGGACTCGAGCGAGATAAAGGCCCGACTGAGCGCAGATCGTCCGCATGGGGCTTGCGCGTCGCTGTTCCAAGAGAGGAAGGCCTCGTTAGGCGACGGCTGTGTTTGGATTTGAATGATAGGGGTGTAGGCAGGTCTGTTTTGTGGAAATCGAAAATACTCCAGTCGAATTGGATCGTAAAACCTGAAAACTTGAAAAAATTATTATTAGTACGCATTTTATTGCACTTTATGACGGGGAAGCGTATTTAGAATGATACTATAGTCTGTTTAGAAATGAAAGAGAGTAATAAAAGCTTATTATGTATGCAAATCGTAAATAAATGTAGTACTGGTGCTTATATTCAATATTTTTATATTATGTATTATCGGTATAGATGAGGTGTACTTTTAAAAAAACTTTGTGCGATCGGACTGTACTAAATTGTAGCAGGTAGCTAAAATTTAATCCCCGACAATCCGTCTTTGTCTATGCCGCTTCAATTTCTCGGTCCATTTCTCTTATAAGTAAACAATATAAAAACAGCATTTCAAAACATGAGGCTACTTTAAGCATCATAACCGGGTTAAGAGGGTTTTTAGTAATTCAAATAAAATTATTCAATATTATTATCAAAATATTTATTTAAATTTAATGAATAGACTTTTATTCCACACAAAAATATATGTATTTTGAAAATTCAAATTATGGTGAGTAAATGTAGTGTTGTATAAATGTACAATAAAGAAAATAAAAAAGTAGGTATATTAAAATTCATCCTCTGAATATTCTGATGAATTATCTTCGTCTCCTAGATTGATAACGATAGGTTCCACAGTAACGTCAATTAAATTATCGAGTTCCCACATTTTCTCCTCTTCTTTTTGTACATGATGTATACATCTTTGCCAGTTATCTGCAGTTACTCGTTCCAAGGAATTTTTTAACAAAATTTTCACGTCACTTAATTTAAACGTCGTATTATTTCGCGCTACATCTCCTTTTACCTGCGCCCAGACTAATTCGATTGGGTTAAGTTCACAGTGATAAGGTGGTAACCGTAGTACCGTTATTTGGCGATTTGTTGCCATTTCATCGATAACATATTTTTTCTGATCTTTATTAAGATTGACAAGTGTCAAAAGTTCCTTTTTCACCATATTTGTTTCAAAAGAAATGTTTTTTCCGGATAACCATTGAATTATATCGGCTTTCCTCCAAGCAGTCGTAGGCGTCCGCTCGGTCTGCCGTGAATGGTAACTGGCATTATCCATGACAATTACAGACCCCGGAGGAATAAGATCCAACATCTGTGTAAAATACTCTTCGAAAACATCTGCGTTCATGTCTTCGTGATAGTCACCTGTATTTTTAGATTCAAATAAAAGTAAACCGCCATCTACAAAACCACTGGCACTACCTATATGTGTCACTATTAATCTTCGCCCTTTACCTGAAGGTGCCTTGAACCCTGTTGAAAGTCCATCCAAAAATGCTTGTCGAAAACTTTTTACATTTTTATCTTGCCATACTTTTGTTACAGTATATCCCTCGTTGACCCAAGTTTCGTCTAGATAATAAATATTCCTCCCTTCGTCACGGAATTTTCTAATTGATCTTAAGTAGGATCTTCGCCAACAAATAATTTCATCTTTATCGATAAGAACTGACTTCCTGTTCTGCTTTTCCCAGCAAAAATTCAACTCTCGTAAGACGGCCCATAATTTGCTTCTACTGATTTTTGGCAAATCGTTGTCCTCTGAAAGTTCACTTAAAATTTTGTTTAGCGTTGGTATTTCTTTTTTAAAATAAAATGAGTGTACTTTTCTGCGAATGACATTTTTGAAGAAATCATCTATAACGACTTTTGACCTCCCTGTAGATGATTTTGGGGGATTTACAGTATCTTGTTCATTTTTTGTTTCCTTTAAAAGTCTGTAGATAGTCGATTTTCCAATCCCTGTCATTTTGGAACACTTTTCCACGATGTCGTCAACACTGTTGGTAGGATTTTGGTGTTTCAATGCATTAAATACATTTAATATAATAATCTTCTCATTCTGAGACAGCGCACATCTTTTCACGCGTTTAGCAGGTACGTAATCTGATAAGCTCGACATTTTACCCAAACAATATTATATCCACTGGCACAATAGTCACTAAACACAAGTCGAATTTTACTCTACTGCACTAGCACGTCTTCGTATATTCAGCTCTAAGACTGGATTGATCTGTCACAATACACTGGCTTCTCCCCTATGATGTATCCAGTAAAATATACTAATGTACACCCATTACCTGTTACCATTAGTGTTACCCGATAATTACCTGAAACGAAATATTACCACGCCCATGGCCGGTTCTTATCTCGGAGTTTTATTACTCTCTTTCATTTCCAAACAGACTATAGCAAAAAAGTAACTAGAAAGAAGCGACGCTAAGTTGGCAAATTGCAGATGAGTAGCAAATTTACGTGTTTTTTTTTACTTTTTTTACTGCCCACCTATCGGAATATTAGTTATTTTATGTTGTAGGCAATTAAATTTAAGTAGCATTTTATCCATTTAAGAATGTTTAAACGCGAGAACGTATTTCGAGCAGTGGATAAAAGACAATTAAAACACGAATGCAATACGTTTTACCCATAATCACATCACAATCATATACAGGGTGGTCCCGAGGTAGTGGGTCAAAATTCATGGGTAGATTCAACGAGCAAAAATATTGCGATTTGGCCAAACTTACCTTACTCCAAAAGTTGATAGTTAATGAGATACAGGGTGTTAAATGTAAAATATTATTTCAGTTTTTTCCATTTATTCCTTCACAAAAGGAAATATCCTCACAAAATTTTGAGCTTTGGAGTTCTTTGGGTAGAGGAATTGAAATATGTTCACATTTTGGTTATACTTATAGAGGGCGCTAGCTGCACTAGATTGAATGTGTTAAAAACGACATATCTTTTTTGCACTTTAAGGTATCTCATCTTTGGCACTAAATTTTTATTTTCCAACTTTTTATATAGAAAAAAGGTATACTTTATGAAAGTAGCTATCTCGCACCGTTCTCGAGATATTTGCCTTTGAAACTTCCAATGCTGTTGCATTAAATTACAATTAAGTACCTACAGGTATTATTAATTTAGCGGTAAAGTTTCTTAAGAAGGATTTGGACGAAAATTAAATAATTTACGTTTTTCACTTGTCTTATTGCTGACATTATTTGTATGCTAATTTCTTTTAAGTATTATTCGTACCTAATTAAAATTACATTTTAGCTTACAATTTAAATTGTATACTCGTATACATAAATGTGAGATAGAATGCCGAGGTTTTCGTTTTTGGAGTTACATGAAATTAGCTGTTTATGGAGAAACTATAAACACTTGAGAAGAACTTTAGTAGCAGGTTTTAAATGCTACAAAGTCATTTTGCGTTAAAGATTTATACTTTAAAATTAGCCAATCTTTTAATAAACGTGTTGATAAATGTATTGAAGTTAGAGGTGGACATTATTGTTAAAAAAGCATATTTTTACTAATGTTTACTATTTTACTGTTCATTACAATTTTTTTCATTATAAATAAACCTTGTTTTTTAACATTTCTAAATTATTTTAATTATTTCATCTATGTATTAGCATTGGAAGTTTCAAAGCCAAATATCTCGGAAACGGTGCGAGACAGCTACTTTCATAAAGTAGCTGTGGAAAAAGTTGGAAAAAATAAAAATTTGATACTTAAGATAAGATACCTTAAAGCATGAAAAAGTTATGTCGTTTTTAACACATTCAATCTAAGGCAGCTGGCGCCCTCTATGAACTATAACCAAACTGTGAACAAATTTCAATTCCTCTACCCAAGGAACCCCAAATCCCAAAATTTTGTGTAGATATTTGCATTTATTAAGAAATAAATGGAAATAAACTAATATAATATNTTTGGAGTTACATGAAATCAGTTGTTTATGGAGAAACTATAAACACTTGAGAAGAACTTTAGTAGCAGGTTTTAAATGCTGCAAAGTCATTTCGCGTTAAGGATTTATACTTTTTAAAATAAGACAATCTTTTAATAAACGTGTTGATAAATGTATTGAAGTTAGAGGCGGACATTATTGCCAAAAAAGCATATTTTTACTAATGTTTACTATTTTACTGTTCATTACAATTCTTTTTCATTTTAAATAAACCTTGTTTTTAACATTTCTAAATTATTTTAATTATTTCAACTATATATTAGCATTGGAAGTTTCAAAGCCAAATATCTCGGAGACGGTGCGAGACAGCTACTTTCATAAAGTATACCTTTTTTGTGTAGAAAAAGTTGGAAAATAAAAATTTGATACCAAAGATAAGATACCTTAAAGCATGAAAAGTTATGTCGTTTTCAACACATCCAATCTACGGCAGCTGGCGCCCTCTATGAACTATAACCAAACTGTGAACACATTTTAATTCCTCTACCCAAGGAATCCCAAATCCCAAAATTTTGTGTAGATATTTGCATTTATTAAGAAATAAATGGAAATAAACTAAAATAATATTTTAGATTTAACACCCTGTATCTCTTTAACTATCAACTTTTGGACTAAGATAAGTTCGGCTAAATCGCAACAATTTTGCTTCGGGAATCTACCCATGAATTTTGGCCCATTATCTCGGGACCACCCTGTATGTGGAATTAGAATTATTGGAATGTAATAATAGTTATTTATGTATCTAGGAAATTATAAGGGCCTTAATGGCAAAGTTTGCGTCCCGAGGGCGTCCGGCCCGAGGGACAGCAATTGCCTGAGGTTATTAAGGCTCATTAATTCCCGTGGTACATAGATAATTTTATTTCTGACCGATTTCAATAAAATATTGTTTATTTTTAAAACGGAAAAAATGTACCAATTTATTACCTTCCCAGTATATTTGAATCAGGTACCATTGATTATAAGAGTTTTGTTGTTGCTAGGTTGTTGCTATGTTACGTGTTTATAAACAGAATTGTTACTTGCTTATAAACAGTACTTTGTTATCAAGCTGTGTTTGCGTTAAAAACGTGTTTTCTACCCCAAATATAATGGAGCAGATTTTGAAAAAAGCTGAAAAAGCAAGAGAATCATTAAT